CTTTTCTGGGAAGTATACAGGTTTTACGGCGAGGGGTTAGAATATATTTTGCTAAAGAGTTTTCAAAGAGCTTTGTTTTTGCCCACTCACGCTTTTGTTTTTGCGCCCCTCCAGGTTTTAGTGGTCTAGCAAGTTCGGTGGTTTATCCCAGAGGGCGTCCCGGCATTTCTGACAGACATTCACCATTGTAGGGTCACCTTCGGGTGTAATTATGTCGCATTTTCCTTTTTGACTGCTGTAGACTTGCTCTGAAATTGTGTCTCACATACACTAGTACTTTGTATGCTAGTAGGTTTTTAATTATTAGTACTTTTATATTACTATCTTCTTAGCTTCCGCACGCGCACATGGCTACGTCACCTTCGAGTGACGGCCAGCACGCCCTGATCCCGGTCGGGGTGTGTCATGACGATATACTATTTAGAACTTGTTTTTATAACACTTCTTTATAGTATAAATGATGGATGATTTTATACTATGAAGATGATTTTGAGATATATGTACCTATGTTTTGAAAGATTATTTTTAGTGGTTTTGTGCATACCTATTGGTCATTATATGCCTGTTTGGTAATTGATACGGATATGCTTGTTTGGCAATTGATACTGATATGCCTGTTTGGCAAATGATATACATGCCTGTTTGGCATATGATATTGATATGCATGTTTGGCAAATGATACTGATATGTCTTTGTGGCAAGTCATAGATATGCCTGCTTGGAAAATGAAGGGTGATGACACTGTTACTGATAATGATACCAGTTAGCACACTATATACAAGATATGATTTATGAAAAGTTTTATGACATGCTAGGGTTTTCGGAAAAACTTATTACATATTATATTATTGTTTTCATAAAACTTTGGGGGTTAATATGTTGATAACTATTTCTATTATATGTATATAAACTCTGGTCCACTTATGTTTGTTTTGCGCCCCTTTCAGGACTTAGAATCGAGACGTACAATTCTAGCGTCAAGGCACTTCCGCATCGGCATCTTCGAGTTCTCTCGGCGTAGGACCCATTCTTTTATTCATTCATTTTTATATTATTTTCTTTAGTGTTCTAGTTAGTTGTATGATCTGAACATGATTCTCATTTGCATAATATTTGTAATTAAATTTCTATTATCTTATTAGTAGTTTTAATTCTCATGCATTCTAAATGGCTTGCGTCATCTTCGGGTGTCAGCCAGCACGTACCCTGGTGTCCGAAGAAAATCAAGATCGGAACGTGTCAATAAGTATCTATATCTCTCCTCATGTGACACATTACATAAGAAATGAGACGATTACCTGTGAAATCAACTCGTTTCAAATACATTTTGCCCGATAAGCTCTTAAAGTAATATTGCCACTATGTGCAGGACATTGTGAATGGAATATATTATTAAGTAGTTTACAACTTTACATTCTCCAATCTCAAATACGAAACCAAGAACTCATATATACCAAGCTAGCTAATGTAACAACTTTACATTCCTTAAAAGAGGAAGCACCCTAAATTAGCTAATGGCGCAACTTTTCACGATGATCATATTTATTCATAAGGTTGAAGTAGTTTACAATCAGTATTAATACTTCTCGTTGTTATATCTTCAAGATGCATGTAACTTCACTTTGCAGGATAGTTATTTGAGATATTTAAATTATCATTGCAGCTTTTCTTTTTGTTTGGTGTGCCAGAATATGGGTGTTTCTTAATCCTTGAGGTGAGATAAGTGATGAATTGTATTGGTGGATAAAACTTTTGTCTTTAACACATTGAGCTTATGATTCAATTATTCACTGCGTTTAAACATGTTAAACCATAAACCGAACCAAATCAAACCGCAATATTAATGAACCACTTACATCATTTTTAAGCTTTTACGGTTCAATTGTGATATGAAATTTAGTAAAACCAAAGTGTGCGTTTTGGTTTGTGATTTAGAACCAAGACTGAACCAACCCAAGCTGTGCTCAACCCTACTATATATATTACTACATAAAATATTATTAAATAATTAAAAAGAGCATGTGTAAAGTAAAATGGAATACGAGAATACCACAACCCGTAGTTTTATTTTGTCCGAATAGTATTATTGTCAGCCAAAAGCGCATCCTCACTTTTTTGCCCTCTTAATTGAGATCGAATAAGGGCCGAAGACCGAAGACCGAAGACCGAAGACCGAAGAAGGTCATCCTGTGAGAAGTGCAAGGAAGAAACCCAAAGTGGATAACTGTAGAAGGTGATTAGTAGCCCTGCACTTTATAAAGATATGGCCCACACGAGAGAGCCTGCCTGCCTACGCCTTCCAAGTCCAATTAAGGTCCAAGAATCTCTAATCAAGCTTGAAAGAGGGATTGTAACCGGTAAAGAAAGGATTAGAGGAGCCCTTAAGTTTGTCTCCACAAGCACAAATCCAATCCCCTCCCCAATTCAAGCAACTCTTTAATCTCCAGGAAGATTAGAGAATAGTCATATACTTGTTTCTCTTTTCATGGAACAAGTATCTATTTCTCCTATTACGTGAGACATCACGTAAGAAGATAATCGATTATATATGGGGAATCAACTTGTTTGATATACTTTGTAGCCCAAAAATCCCTTAAAATAATATTATCACTATATGGAGGATATTGTAAATGGAAAATCATTTTTATAGGCAGTCTACATGCTCCCAGTCCCATCTCAAGTATATAACAAAAACACATATACCATGACTTAATTTGTTCATAAAGTTGAAGATATATAGTTTATGGTCAATATTAGTAATTTTTTTGAAGCAATTTAAGGTGAAGTTTATTCATCAGTAATAACTAAGTGATTCCCTTGCTAATAATGTAAGTAGCTAGAGAGCGATGCTAAACTTCAAGTTAATTTGGGGGTTTGGGATTAGAGACTCTAGTCAATCGCCACAGTTGACAAAGTCGTAGGTGACGAAAAGGCGGCCTTGGGCATTGCCATTTTCGTTGGTGTTGCACTGATCAATTTGGTTAAACACATTCGTGTCCATGTGTAAGCCTCCTGTGCTGCACTCAACAAATTTGCCGTTGCTTGAGCTTCAGTCTTGGTGTCTGTCACCTGCACATGCAAACATACATCATTTTGCATAAGATTATTTGTGTATACCAGCGCCCTACGTATCTTAAGACATCTTCCGCATGCAGCTTGTCCAGTAAGGCCAACAGGTCCACAAAAGGCAGCCCATCCATATCTGCTGCGCCATGCATGTGATTGACCGGCGTCAAATGCTGAGCAGTAGGCATTTACAGCCTGCAAATCGTAATTGTTTTGCTGTGGATTGTAGGGCAAACTTGTCGCTGTAACACCCGTCGCACTTTGTCCCCATGCACTGCCCGCCATGGCCAACACACAGATCGTGATCCGAACTAACGACACAAAGCACGGTGTCGGTGTGGTGTTCTTCCCGGCCCTTTTTTGATTAATTATTTGTAATTTCTCCTCTGCAGCTAGGGCTAATAATGAATTAACTAATATTGTTTATAGTACTTGACAGCTTGGTATACGGACCAATATGGATGTGTGAAATTACCAATCTAGCCTTGGATAGGTTGGAATTGTATCATCAAAATTGTACACGAATTTGAAGATAAATTAAGATAAAATAAGATACGAAGATACGAAGTCTTTTCCATCTTGAATGTTTGACTAATTACATTAAGACACACGAATAAAAGTATGAAATATAAATTAGAATTGTCCTCCCAAAGTCTTAGTTTCATTGGTGGCGGTCTTTGTTGGGAGAAAATTAATGAGTTCGCAGTTTAAACGTACCTTATCATTCAAAGTGCTTGATCTAGAAGCAGGAAGGATGCATATATAGCATAAGTCCATTTGGAATTGTCAAGATTTCATTTCAGAAATGTCAACCGCACACTATTAACCAAACTAATATTGTCTTTCAACTTGCATTTTACCATCTACATAATAAGATAGTAATGTAATTTTTATCGCAAGACATTAGTGACACAAGTATATCATTCAGTCTCCCGTTCTCGTGTGAAACTCATTATTCAATAGGAATAATACATTTTTGTCTGGCTTTACTTTAAGATGACAAACATCAACGCCAAATATCGGATGATAGATATATATGCTTGTATTGTACGTAACATTATGATGTTTAGGTATTTGGGTTCTTGGATCCATCTTATCTCATCCAAGAATCGGTCAAATTAACAAAACAAGAAAATGCATGGTTTATTTACTTTTAATTATTTCCTTCTTTTTTTTTTTTTTTCTTTTCTTTGTTGAACTGGAAATTTCCATAAAACAGGGAAATCCACCAAAGGTGAGTACGAAGGAAAGTCCCCACAGAGGACTAACACAGATTAAAAAAAGCAAAGTAGAGCAACAAACTTGAAACAAGCAAACAGAAAAAGGAGAAAAGACGCTGCTTAAGTCCTTAATATTCTCCATTGATTGTATTTTTAGTTTATTGCTCAAGTCCTTAATTTTCTCCATTGATTGTATTCTTGACTTTCATGGTTCCTTTCTTCTTCTTTTTTCCGAAGCCTGAGGTATCCCACTTTAAGAACGGTATAGGACTAATTTCCAATGGACTCCAGAAAAGCTAAGGACATTTCAGCTCATATCTGGCCTTAGTCAAATGACAAACGTTATTTCAAAGCTTTCAACTAAAGAATCACTCATGTTTTTGCCAGCTTCATTTCTCAAACCCAAAACTAGGAAGCAAATCTAATTTTGAAATCTACCGTATTTTTGCTGGACCACTTGCCATGGTTGGTTCCTTTGAAATTCACTGAATGAGAAGGAAATGTTCCCGTTTTAAATTATGTAACATTCATTCTTAATTTAGGAAGCCCCTACATAGCTAATGGTGCAGTTATACATTTATCATAAGATTGAAGTGCTTTATACAATCTATATAATATAGGGGTGTGCTTACTTCTTACACATTCGTTGTTAATTTCTATCTGTTGATCTTCTTTATTTCATCCAATCCGACAGTCGAAAATTAGAAGGGTGTGTGAGAAGTAAAAATGGGTATGTGGATATCACACCTCTATAATATAATACTTCTTGTTATAATTCAAGAAGCAATTCCACTTCAATTTATTCCATGGTGAAGCTTATTTATTAGTAATACATAGTTAAGTTCCCTACCAATACTGGGAGTAGAGAACTATATAGTTATTGAAAAAAATAGGGTTATAGGCCTTAGTCGCCGCAGTCGACAAAGTTGTAGTTGACGATAAGGTGGCCTTGTGCGTAACCATTGCCGTCGGTGTCAATTTGGTTAAAAACATTCACGTCCAAGTCCAACCCTCCGTTGCTGCACTGATCAACAATTCTCACCGTTGCTTGAGCTCCAGTCCGAGTGTTTGTCACCTGCAGATACATAAATTCATTAAATTAAATATTCGCACAAGCACAGTTTGCATAAGAACGTTCCATCGCTAATCAGCTAGTATGTTAATACGCACCGAGAGGCACCTTCCGCATGCGGCTTGCCCAGTAGGGCCAGCAGGTCCGCAAAAGGCAGTCCATCCATATTTGCTGCGCCATTCGAGGGATTTATCGGCATCCCATGTTGAGCAGTAGGCACTTACTGCCCGCAAGTCGTAATTGTTTTGCTGTGGATTGTAGAGGTGGTATGTGGCTCTCACATTCGTCGCACTTTGTCCCCATGCACTGCCGACCAAACCACAGATCATGATCGAAACAAACAGCACAGAGCTTGCTGTGATCTTCCCGGCCATGTTGTGATTTGTAATTTTCTTAATTAAGCAGGCAATAATCTGCAATATCACTGTTGTTCTTGGAAGGCTTTGGTACACAATGTATTAGGGTGGTTGAATTTATAGGCTGGAGGTTTGGTGTTGCAATTACTGACCTAACCTTTTGGAAGTTGGAATTGTATATATGGCGTATGCAAATTGCCTACCACGATCGACCGACTCAAACATTGACTGACATATGTAGTAGACGTGTAGTGAGAGGAGATATTCTAAAGTCCAATTACCGGAACACGCATCTCTACAGGTCAAGAGATAAAAATCACCATGTACTTCACCTACGATTTACTTCCTTCTGGTCGCATCCCTTGTGACATCCCACATCGTTCAGGGGAGCGATCCTTAAATGTACATTCTCATCCCTACCTAGCACGAGGTCTTTTGGGAGCTCACTGACTTCAGGTTCCATGGGAACTCCGAAGTTAAGCGAGTAGCGCATAAGAGCATTCCCAGGATGGATGACCCATCGGGAAGTTCTCGTGTGAGTTCCCAGAAACAAAACCGTGAGGGCGTGGTCGGGGCCCAAAGCGGACAATATCGTGCTACGGTGGTGAAGCGGGCTCGGGAAGTGGTCCTGCCCGGACCGGGATGTGACAAATTGGTATCAGAGCCTAACCCTGGCCGTGGTGTGCCGACGAGGACGTCGGGCCCCTAAGGGGGGTGGATTGTGATATCCCACATCGCCCAGGGGAGCGATCCTTAAATGTACATTCTCATCCCTACCTAGCACGAGGCCTTTTGGGAGCTCACTGACTTCAGGTTCCATGGGAACTCCGAAGTTAAGCGAGTAGCGCACGAGAGCATTCCCAGGATGGGTGACCCATCGGGAAGTTCTCGTGTGAGTTCCCAGAAACAAAACCGTGAGGGCATGGTCGGGGCCCAAAGCGGACAATATCGTGCTACGGTGGTGGAGTGGGCCCGGGAAGTGGTCCCGCCCGAACCGGGATGTGACATCCCTTCTCTCGGGGCCCAAAGCGGACAATTTCGTGCTACGGTGGTGGAGTGGGCCCGGGAAGTGGTCCCGCCCGGACCGGGATGTGACATCCCTTCTCTCGCACTTAACCCGTTTCGGGTTCCCTACACAAGAATCTCTCCAATGAGAGAGAGAGGTGTCAACATTGAGAAACTAATTAACTTGTTCACAAAATAAAAAAGTATGGAAAAATAGATTATTAAAACGAAAATTTAACGAAAAATCTACATTACTGTTCACTTTAACGAAAAATTATATTTTTACACTAAAAATTCAATTCTGGTACTATTCACTTTACCCTTTATTTTGTCCTTATCATTAAAACTCAAAGTTTTCAAGCATTTTTCATTAGTTTTTCTTTATTAAAATGATTTAATAACCCATATCTTAATTTGATCATTTACATTATTCACTTAAGTATATTAATTATAATATTCTAGGTAATAAAATACAAGCGTTAGGAGAGGACTTACACTCGCGATTTTTCAACCTATAATAAATAAAATTAGGCAGATCAACAAAGAAAACCGAGCCAAGAGAAGAGCCACGGCACCTAAATTGAAGTCTAAGTTTATACCAGACTAAATCAAATGCCCGAGAACATTGAACTTGTGTAGAATTAATAATGTTTAGGAGCTATCCGGTACTTGGATCTGTCGAACGGTACATGTACTATCTAGACATTGATCACGGCAAAAATTAAGGTAGTAGACGACTTTGAAGATAAGGTAGGCTTTTCATCAGTTGAAAGTTCTACAGAGACAAACACAAACAAAAGTGTGTCTGTACATATAGACAAGCTTATATGTCAATAATATATATGCATGACATGTTACCACATAGACAGATCAATAAAAATTAGACGTTTTCATTTAGACGCTTTGTTTTTTAATTTCTTATATGAAACTTTTATTCTTTTTAAGAATTTAACTAAATATTTTTCCTACAATTTTTGTGATTAATTTTATTCTATTTTATTAGAAGTTTAAAAACGATATCATCTACTAAGGGGGAGGGGGATGAGCTTAGTCTCACAATGGTCTACCAATAATGTGGTTCAAATTCATCTTGGCAAGAATCGAACCTAAGACCTCTCATTTTCAAGTGAAGAAGAATATCACTAAACCGTAGTACTAAGTGGCAATATTGAATTATTACTTAAATATTGATTAACGTATTTCCTATTAGTGACAAATAATTTAGTTTACAAACTTAGTTTAAAAATTTGGCCTCCTATGATTATCCTAAAAGATTTTGCAAAAGGTGAACGCTCTCATTTTAATTGGTTTTCGAAACTATGTAAAAACTATTACAAATCCATTTTCGAGGAAATTTCATTGCACCACGAGCTACCTTAAATTTATAGGAAAACTAATGAAAATAACTTGAAAACTTTGAGTTTTAACGATAAGGATAAAATAATGGGTAAAGTGAATAGTACCATGATTGACTTTTTAGTGTAAAAATGTAGTTTTTCGTTAAAGTAAACAGTATAGCGAGCTTTTCGTTAAAACTCTATAAATTTATTTGGGCACTCTGGAGATGTGCTTGACGACGAATCTCAATTCGAAGTTTCTAACTATGTTCTGACCCAATTAGTAATATTTTAAATTCGTTTAAATTAAAAACCTATTGCCGCACCATAAGCTTCCTAAACTTCAGGTTCAACTTTCCGGAGATATTGTTAGTTTTGTATAATGTTCTTTGGGTCTTGAATTTGTTGGCCCGTAAAATTAAATTGATAAGGCCCAAAACTACAAAGAATAGACCGAATTAAAATGAAACCGAGTACGTGTGATTTGGTTCAATTTTCTTTTAAATTTTTTATTTTTAGAACAGTTCTCTGTGCCAGGATGTGAAGATAAAAGATAATATGACAAATAGTCCAATTACTTATAAGTATATGCAAAGTTCTTTCTTTCTTTGATGTGAATACTCTCAACATGCATCTTTAGGTGTGCTGAATTTTGACGTTTAATATGTGGACAATACAAATCTAGTAACGTAAAACACGTGTGATAGTTAGAATTCACACGTTGAACAACCTGCTCTAATATCATGAAGAAAGTTGAACTTCTATCATAAAATTACTGGCAATACGAGAAATGACACAATCTCTTATAAACTTTTGAATGTTTTTCTTTTCTTCAATGTAAGACTTTTTTTATCTGTGCGCGTTTCTATCTGATCAGGATTTTGGGGTCAAAAAACTTATCATGAGATGTGTGCTATTTATATTTTCCAGTCCAATTTTCTCTTCTTCATCCACTAGCCGCATTTTTTGACCAGATGGCACACAATAGTGCCCATGTGGACCCTCCACCACCTTTATATAAAACTCTCTGTCTCTCTCTCTCTCTCATATATGAGCAAACGCGAAGCAGATTAACCAGAAAAACAAAGGGCTAAGTCTTTCTTGACTTTTGGCCTTGATAACGTACATTTGGTATGGAAAAACAAGAATCCGCACGACTTGCTTTAATTCTAGACAGAGTCATATTCCACAAAAGCAGTCAGGCTCTTCCAACACTACAGTAATTTAACATCAACCATACATTCCCACTATAAATTAATTAGCACTTGGCTAATATTGCAGACCATATCATCCCTTGTAAAACAGATACAAATTCCTGATAAAAATGGGGAAGTTAACAATTAGGGCATCCGCATCATGCACGGTGGTGCTGCTGTTGGTTTGTGTTATTATGATGGGCTGTGCCAGCGCCCAAAGTGCGAGTAACGTTAGATCGACGTACCATATCTACAATCCAGAGAAGATAGGATGGAACTTGAACACAGCAGGTGCTTATTGCGCCACTTGGGATGCTAATAAGCCTTTGGAATGGCGTCGGAAGTTTGGATGGACTGCTTTTTGCGGCCCCGTCGGGCCTCGGGGCCAAGCATCTTGTGGCAAGTGCTTAAGGGTACGTCCATACTTTTTTTTTTTTGTGATATAATTGATGATAATCTACGTGGGATATGAGATAAATATCGTTATACAAATCAAACGTTTGATCTTCCATCTCTGAGTGAATAAGAATATTACAAGACTGTAATGATAATGACACATTATAATGTAATTAACTAAGTTTTTTCTTTTATTTTTTGCAACAAAGGCATGCGCACAATTAGAGTTTACTGGCACTACAAGAAAACAAGTTTATGTGACTACAAACATTTGTCACGTAATGTGAAAATTCGTCACATTTAATTATATGTTACGAATTTTAGCATCATTGTTCGTGTCATTTATGCCATACAGCACGTCTGGAAAAGTGGGCATCACAAACAATATTACTACCTGATCCATGTTTTTTTTAAGTGTGGAAATGATTAAAATCATTTGTTTGGTTACACTGCAGGTGACAAACGTGAGGACAGGAGCTCAGGCAAAGGTGAGAATTGTTGATCAGTGCAGTAATGGAGGCCTAGATTTGGACGAGGGTGTGTTTAAACGACTGGACACTGATGGGAAAGGCTATGCCCAAGGCCACCTTATGGTGAACTACAAGTTTGTCAATTGTGGCGATTAAACCATACACTAGCTACTCTCATGTATCTTATGGTTATAGTCATAAGGGATTAATAAATAATGGAAACTGCTCCCTTTAATAACTTGTGTTAGTGGTTATGGATGGCATGGTAAAACTAATTAAGTGTAGGGGTGGGCACAATTCGGTTCGGTGTGGTTTTGAGTAAAACCGCAATCAAAACTGAAACTTTTTGTTGTGCGGTTTCGAAGCCAAAACCAAAATGCAACCAAACCATTTGGTTTGGTTCGATGTGGTTTCAAACGGTTTTGGTTTGATTTTTAAGAAAAAATGTACAATTTAAAATTTACACTTATCTACATATAAGACGGTCTCATTTTCCACATAATACATTAATTAACCAACCCACATGAGAATTCTATGAGATATAATCAACTAGCTTAGCCTAGCCTAGCTAGCTAATTGCACAAATGATAGACTTTGTGAGCAGGAAAAAGCACCCTAATGGAGTGATATGGCTTATAATTTGATCAGAGATTCATTTGCATTTGATCGCAGCAAGAATTCTCATATGAGTTTTGCGAGAGAGAGAGAGAGAGAGAGAGAGAGAGAGAGAGAGAGAGAGAGAGAGAGAGAGAGAGAGAAAGAGAGAGAGAGAGAGAGAGTAATGTGGATTGAGGGATAATTTGACAGTATGTCAAATAGGGTGGAAAGGGATGATAATTTAGTGTGGTTTTGAGACCATACTAAATGTATGGACTTTAACAAACAACCTAAACATGACATGGTGCTGTTTCGGTTTCAATGCAGTTTTCAAAAGCCAAAATCGAAACTAAACCGTTTCCTACACAGTAGTTTGGTTTCAAAATCGCAATCGTTTCAGAACAGCAAAATCGAATTGTTCGATAAGGTTCAATTTGGTTCGTATTTCAGTTCCGATTTTTGATTTCAAATGCCCACCCCTAATTAAGTGCTTATATTATACTTCATAAACTGCTATTTTAATTATTAATTGTCTCTTGAGATATGCATTTTTATTGGAGGAAAAATGGATATTGTAAGTGGGGTTCTTAGGGGGGCTAGGGGAGAATGGGTGCCTTGAACCAAGTGAGGAGGGCCACGAGTGCTCGATTTCCCCTATGGCACTGGCTTTTATTCGCACTATTTTTCATATTATCAATTAATTTTAAGATGAATTTTAATTTATTTTATGATATTAGGTTAGATTATTCTAAGTTTAAAGCTCAATGATACGTGTTCTACGTCACTCAATATGTTGCTCAGTATTTAACTTGAAATTCACCCTACATATAAGAAGATCCCTTCCAGTGTGACTTTTTTTTTTTCTTTCTCCAGGGTTTATCTAGACTCCAGAGGCTTGTCATCAACATTGTCTCTTAAGTTCGAGTTAATATATAAAACAAACGTACACAACATTGTGAAATTTACATCGATTCTAAATATTAGCTTACATGTAAATTTGACCGACCGATAACGATGAACTTTTTCATCATATAATCCTATGTTCTTAATTACTGTATATAATATTGTTTTAGCAGAGGAGTGCATTTTGCTGTCGGGTTTTTTAATTGGCTTTATATGCATTTTCTTTTTGTTAAAATTTGATTGATTATTTTTAGATGAGATCATGAGAAGATTAGTGAGATCCAAGAACCAAATTTGGCCTGCGGCTTCCAATTAACGTAACGTTACGTACACTACAATTGAGCATATCCGAGAGAGATCCACTGGTCATAATCTTTGTCTTGTTAATATTATATTATGAGAATTTTAACGAAAAATCTATAGTACTGTTCATTTTAACGAAAAATCACATTTTTACATTAAAAAAGTCAATCCTGGTACTATTCACTTTACTCTTTATTTTGTCTTTATTATTAAAACTCGAAGTTTTCAAACCATTTTTCATTAATTTTCTTTTATATTAATGCAAGATCTTAAAGCATCTTCAATGTGAGACCCTGAGTCACCATCAACTTTGAGGACTCATTTAGGGGCATCAAAAGAATAGTTGAGTTCCTAAAAGAATATTATCTGCAATGGAAAATCCTTATACAATAATCCCTTAATGTAGGGACTAAAATATTAAAAAATTATTGTTCATTTTCTCGAAGTATTGTGACCATGGTAAAAGTAAAAAAAAAAAAAAACTATCTCTAATATTGATTTTTCAAGAGTGAAAAAAAAATTACATGAGAAAATTAAAAGGAAAATTAATGAAAATAACTTGAAAACTTTGAGTTTTAACAATAAGGACAAAATAAGAGGTAAAGTGAATAGTACCAGGATTGACTTTTTAGTGTAAAAATGTGGTTTTTCGTTAAAGTGAACAACACCAGAAGCTTTTCGTTAAAGTTCTCAAAATTAAATGAAAAGCTGCCCCACATGGGTGGGTTCAAAAAACAAGGAAAAAAAAATAAAGAGCGACATCATTCCCACTTAAAATTAATACGTGGTCACTCTTTAAGTTCCTATATCAGATTCATATTTAAGAAGTTATTTGAGGTATCCGACGAGTTCTTATATATTGAGATACTTTGAGAACTTTTATTCCAATTCAAGCCTTTTGCCCCTATATATATATATATATATATATATATATATATATGAACTATACGGTTTTACGGACTCTATTTAATGCCTCCATTGAAAATGCTCTTGGGTCAAGCCAAACTATTGTGCTGGCGTGGAGAGAGGTGCATGGCTGCAGAGGAAATATTTATCATTTCAAATGGAATATGTGTTTTCATGTCTGTTTCTAGACTAAGAGATATTTGCTTAAATGAAGTGGCTTTTTAATTCCTTCATACATTAATTAATTTTGTGCGACCTCTTTTTTTGTGAGGACATTTTTACACATTCTCGCTCTCTTGCGTGTGGGAGTTTTCAAGTATATTATCTAGACAACACAATTTGAACAACATAGAGCATATGAGAATTTTTTTACTTTCTTCTTGGCTTGTGGTGATGTTGTTCTATTCAAATTATAACACATATATTGTTTTTTTTTTCTTTTATATAATTAAAATACTCTAAAAGTGGAACATAATCAATCTTGTCATCCACCGCTATAATAGTACGTAGAATGATACAATACATAACTTGGTTTTTTGGGATCCATAAAAATTTCTCCTACAATTCGAAGTACTTGAGAGCTCCTAAATAGCAAGAAAGCATCCCAAACAAGTTGAATGTTTAATAGTTTGAGCAGCCGCCTGATATTATTCAGAATGCTTTAATAGATGTCAATTGTTGTTGGGGTAATGTCAAAGTTCAAAAACGTTCGATTTCATTTGTCATTTAAATAGATAAATGATCGCCTACAAATATTATAATGTACATTTGTGAATAATTCAAATGATCAAATAATTTTAATCGATCAAGTGGGATTAATCAAAACATCATTTTAATAATCTGTTTTTCTCTAGTTTTCTGGTAGTACACAACTCAATCAGTTGCTCTAGTCCCTCTCTCTCGTGTGTATATTCTATTGTACGTGTCACAATGCGCGGATGTGCTAGCCAATTAACTCACGCAGGCCAAACAATTCCAACTTCCCTAAGGTTAGATTAGTAACTACAACACCAGGCCTCTAACTTCAACCTAATTACAGATCACACAAACCACAAAATGGCAGGGAAGATTGCACCATGCTTTGTGTTGTTAGTTTCGGTCATTGTCTGTGTATTTGTGGGAAGTGCATGGGAACAAAGTGCTAGTGTGAGATCCACATACCACCTCTACAATCCTGACCAAATCAATTACGATTTACGTGCCTTCTGCTCAACATGGGATGCTGATCAATCCTATGAATGGCGCAGCAAATACAGATGGACTGCATTTTGCGGACCTGTTGGCTGCCTCTTGGTACGTATTAGTTTGTTAGCGCTAGAACACTCCTACATTAAAATACTAGCTGATTAGCACTAGAACGCCAATTTTTTATTTTATGAATTTATATATGTGCAGGTGACAAACACTGGGACAGGAGCACAAACAGTGGTGAGAATTATTGATCAATGCAGCAACGGAGGGCTAGACTTGGGTGTGAGTATGTTTAACCAGATTGACACCGACGGCAGTGGCTACGCATCCGGCCAGCTTATCGTCAACTACGACTTTGTGCGGCGACTAAATTTAGCCTGCTATAAGCCCCGGATTAATTCAGTAACTTAGTAGTGAACTTAATTATTATACTAAAAAATAAGCTTCACCATGAGATAAATTGAAGCGGAATTGCTCCTTGTTCTACAACAATAAGTATTATTAGAGATTGTAATGTACTTCAACCTTTTGATAAATATATATGGACTATCATGCGGATGATTGCACCATTAGCTAGGGGCTTCCTCTTTTAACGAATTAATGGATTGCATGCTTTATGTTAAAACAAGAACATTTCCTTATTATTCAGTGGATTTTATAGGGTCCAAAACTCCATATATTGATACAAGAGGATGAACCTAGGAAAGGAACCTTGAAAGTAAAACTTACAATCGGTGAGGACAAATAAAATTTTGAGGAAGAGGAAAAGTAAAACTTCCTAGTGGGTCACTCATCGTGGGATTGCTCTCATGCGAACTCGCTTAACTTTGAAGTTCCTATAGAACCCGAAGCCAGTGAGCTCCCAAAAGGCCTCGTGCTAGGTATAAATGAGAATATACATATAAGGCTTACAGGATCCACTCCTCTGGGCGATGTGGGATGTTAAAATCCACCCCCTTAGGGGCTCGACGTTCTCGTCGGCACACTTCCAGCCAGGAATTAGCACTAATACCAAATTATCACATCCCGGCTAAGGCCCCCACCACATCTCGGGCTCGACTCCATCGTAGCATGATATTGTCCGCTTTGGGCCCTGACCACGCCTTCATGATTTTGTTTCTCGGAACTCACACGAGAACTTCCCAATGGGTCACCAATCGTAGGATTGCTTTCACGCGAACTCGCTTAACTTCGGAGTTCCTACGGAACTCGAAGCCAGTGAGCTCCCAAAAGATCTCGTGCTAAGTAGAAATGAGAATATACATATAAAGCTTACAAGATCCACTCCCTTCGGCGATGTGAGATGTTACACTTACGGTTTTTTCAACTTTTTTTAAACTAACATCTATTCATTTTCTAGATTGATTAAGATACTTTAATTAAGGGACGTAATTTTCATACACCTCTTTCTGCTTCTCACACACCTCTCTTGATTTTTTATCGTTAGATTGAATAAGTAAAACAGAATCAACCGCCAGGATTATGGTGTGTGTTTATCATTTCCCTTGATCAATTGTCACCTCATCATTTTTGTATTTATTTAATATCTATTCACTTATGCTTTTTTTTTTTTTTTTGGGTGACTTCGTCATGGGAGTCCACTCTTTCAGGGGCGAATAGGACTCACAAAGACATTTCCGTCTCTCTCTGGCTACCATCATGTGATTCACCAGCATCAGAAATCAAATTAAAAAACTGTTGTGTGAAATACGAGCCTCATAACTAATTGCGTAGAATTTTTGTGATTTTTTTATTAAAATTAATTAATTAAACTAATCCCTCATTAGCAAAAAGCAAATAAAGAAATAACTTTATTAAGTTATCAAAATTTTACGACTACTAATAAAAAAACATAACTGAAACATAAAACGAAATATACAAAGAAATCAAATGTAATTTCCAAAAATACCAAATGTAGTCTTTAAATGTACAAAGAAACCAAATGTAGTTTTCAAAAAAAAAGTCAAATATACCAAAAATTTAAATGTACCATAAAACGAAATGTACTCATATTAAGTAACCAAACTTACCAATATAAGAGAACGGACTTTTATTATATTTATGTATGTGACAGTGAATTTACTATAAAAAAAAATTGAAATCACCATAATGAGAGATCCATATAATAATTTCAACTGTACGAATGAAGAGGGAGGGAGAGGGAGGGGGGGGGGGGGTGGAACTATAAACTAACATGAAAGAAATACATAAAAAAAATAGGGGCATCTAATTCAAAGGTATAGGTTGTTTTTGGGACTAGATCCTGTTAGCTAATTATGTGACATCCCACATCACCCAGGGGAGTGATCCTTAAATGTATATTCCCATTTTTACCTAGTACGAGGCCTTTTGGGAGCTCACTGGCTTCGAGTTCCATCGGAACTTCGAAGTTAAGCGAGAAGAGGGCTAGAGCAATCCCATGATGGGTGACCCACTGGAAAGTTGTTCGTGAGTTTCCAAAAACAAAACCGTGAGGGAATGGTAAGCCCAAAGCGGACAATATCGTGCTACGGTGGTGGAGCGGGCCTGGGAAGTGATTTCTCCCAAGCCGGGATGTGACATTTGGTATCAGAGCCTAACCCTGGTCGCGTGTGTGCCGACGAGGACGTCGGGCCCCTAAGGGGGGTGGATTGTGACATCCTACATCACCCAGGGGAGTGATCCTTAAATGTATATTCCCATCTTTACCTAGCATGAGGTCTTTTGGGAGCTCACTGGCTTCGGGTTCCGTAGGAACTCTGAAGTTAAGCGAGAAGGGGGCTAGAGCAATCCCATGATGGGTGACCCACTGGGAAGTTGCTCGTGAGTTCCCAAAAACAAAACCGTGAAGGAATGGTAAGCCCAAAACGGACAATATCGTGCTACGGTAGTGGAGTCGGGCCCGGGAAGTAGTCCCGCCCGGGCCGGGATGTGACAATTGTGACATCCCACATCACCCAGGGGAGTGATCCTTAAATGTATATTCTCATCTTTACCTAGCACAAGGTCTTTTGGGAGCTCACTGGCTTCGGGTTTCGTAAGAACTCTGAAGTTAAGCGAGAAAGGGGCGAGAGCAATCCCATGATAGGTGACCCACTGGGAAGTTGCTCGTGAGTTCCCAAAAACAAAACCGTGAGGGAATGATAAGCCCAAAGCGGACAATATCGTGTTACGGTAGTGGAGTCGGGTCCGGGAAGTAGTCCCGCCCGGACCGAGATGTGACAATTTGGTATCAGAGCCCAACCATGGTCGCGTGTGTGTCGACGAGGACGTCGGGCCCCTAAGGGGGTGGATTGTGACATCCCACATCACCCAGGGGAGTGATTCTTAAATGTATATTCCCATCTTTACCTAGCACGAGGCCTTTTGGGAGCTCACCGGCTTCGGGTTCCGTATGAACTCTGAAGTTAAGCGAGAAGGGAGCTAGAGCAATCCCATGATGGGTGACCCACTGGGAAGTTGCTCGTGAGTTCCCAAAAACAAAACCGTGAGGGAATGGTAAGCCCAAAGCGGACAATATCGTGCTACGGTAGTGGAGTCGGGCCCGGGAAGTAGTCTCGCCCGGGCCGGGATGTGACAAATTACATAATTTTGTATCAATTATTTAATTTTGTCTTTTTATATAAAAAAAATTTAATTCATTAATTTTTGTGATAAAGTATAATATAAAAAAATAAAATATGTATTAATATGTGTTATAGGTAGACTATGAACAAAAACCCATGACATAGGTAGCTGGACAATTAAACATACTACCTATAAGTGAGATATAAAACCTAACTACAAAATACAAAAATCTAATACCTACAAGTAAGATACATTAAGTAGTGATACATGTTAATTATAAATATGAATCTTTCATATAGGTGGAAAAATACAATTAACCTATGACACAGGTTGATTATAAAATAATAATAATAATAATAATATTATAACTAGGGTTTGGAACATAAAAAATAAATAATTAAGGGGATAATTAGAAAGAAATAAATTTTTATAATAAATTTTATCAATAAATAATACTACTGATAATAAAATAATTTTAAATTTAAGGGATTTGACTTATTTTAAGAAACTGGATTGTTCCTAATATTGGTTAAAAAAATTGGATTTATATCAAATTTCACATGAAAATAATATATATATATATAGTACATAAAAATAACGTGAAAATTTTGATTTACAAAATTAAATTTAGTCTCTGCATTACCCAATCTTTTATGTGCATAATAAGAAAAGTTTATAAATTATTCTTACCAATTATTGAGTCACATAAGTATTTGTAATGATTTTTGAAGCTAAAACAATGAAAATAAGTACCAGAAGAGTTCTATCGGGGTCAAAACATCTTCAAGTGATTCCGCATGAATTTCTAGAAGTTAATAGTATGGAAGAAATGTCACGAAATAAGTTCGATTATAGAGGATTTGAAGGCCCTCCCTCCATCAGTCACTGAAGCTTCTTTTCTTCACGTTCGCCGGCAAGCCAACGAAGCTGCCCACAAACTGGCTCATTCCGGTCTCAATACTTGTCAGTCCTGTACTTGGGTTTCGACCCCGCCTTGTCTAATTTTAGACCTTCTTCTGGCGGAGGCTAACTCTTGCTAACTTGTATTGATCTTTCTTTAATTATCAATGAAATTTCTATCGTTTCTCTATAATAAATAAAATAAAATAAAAAGTTCGATGATTGCTAAAAAATTGGACAAAAATGATAATCTCATTTTTTAAATGATCAGTTTTTCATTATGTCGTTGATTAGTTATGTCATAAAAAACTTGATTGTTATATCATCGATATTTGATTGACATGTATATAGAGGAAGTCTTTAAGGGAATGGATATCTATTTTATTTTTACTTTTTTTTTTTTTAAATGGGAATTAGTTGTGGGCTCTACATAACATCGAATTTTAACGATTTGTGTCACATCCCAGCTCGAGCCCCCACCACATCCTGAACTTGACTCCACCATAGCACGATATTGTCCGCTTTGAGCCTCGACAACGCCCTCACGGTTTTGTTTATAGGAACTCACACGAGAACTTTCCAATGGGTCACCACTCCTGGGATTCTACTCGAGCTCCATCGTGTACTATTTCCATGGCAACACTCTCAAAAATGAGGGTTCCAGTGGAACAGAACAAATGATGTCGAGCCAAGAGCACTTTCGTTCCTATATAATATAAAAAAGTGGTGGATGTAAGAATCCACAGCTGATCATGTCCTTCAAGTCGCACGTTGCTTTCTGCCACATCGTTTTAAACGAAGTTTTACCATAACATTCCCAAAGTTTCTTTTTTTTTTTTTTCAAATAAAAAAACAAGATTTTTTTTATTGCTCTCGCACGAACTCGCTTAACTTCGGAGTTCCTACGGAATCCGAAGTCAGTGAGTTCCCAAAAGGCCTCGTGCTAGGTAGAGATGAGAATATAC